CACGAGCCTCCTGGCCCTGGAGCAGTGTTGACAGGGGCAGCACCCAAACCCCCTGATCGTCCTGCGGCTCTGTGTGTGACAGGGGGCGGGGCCACAACCTCCCTATCTGCCCTGCTCTGTTCGTGACAGGAGAAGGCGCCCCAACCCCCTGATTGGCCCTGCTCTGTGCCTGATAGGGGGGAGCTCCCCAACCCCCTGATCGGCCCTGCTGTGTGTGTGACAGGGTGCGGCGCCCCAACCCCCCCATGGGCCCTGCTCTGTGTGTGACGGGGTGGAGCCGCAACCTCCCCATCGGCCCTGCCCTTAGTGTGACAGGGGGGAGTGCCCCAACCCCCTGATCGACCCTGCTCTGTGGGTGACGGGGGCGGCGCCCCATCCTCCCCATCGACCCTGCCTTGAGTGTGACAGGGGCGGCGCCCCAACCCCCCAATCGGCCCTACCCTGTGCGTGACAGGTGGGAGCTCCCCAACCCCCTGATCGGCCCTGCTCTGTGTGACAGGGTACGGAGCCCCAACGCCCCTGATGGGCCCTGCTCTGTGTGTGACAGGGGGCAGCGCCCCAACCCCCTGATCGGCCGGCTCTGTATGTGACAGGGGTGGGACCACAACCCCCTGATCGGCCCTGCTCTGTGCGTGACAGGGGTTGGCGCCGCAACCTCCCCATCGACCCTGCCTTGAGTGTGACAGGGGGTGGCGCCCCAACTCCCCAATCGGCCCTGCTCTAAGCCCGACCAGGAGCTGCGGTGCAGGCACCTAGGGATTGGGCCTGCCCTCTGCCACCAGGGAGTGGGCCTAAGCCAGCAGGTCGTTATCCCTCGAGGGGTCCCAGACTGTGAGAGGGCACAAGTGGGGCTGAGGGACACGCCCCCCCCCCGCCAGTGCACAAATTTTTGTGCACCGGGCCTCTAGTCTTATATAATAAAAGGCTAGTATGCAAATTGTCCCTTTGACCGGAAGTTCAACCAGGAGTTTGACCAGGGGGCGGGGCTGGCTGGCCAACTGCCCACGGCCCCTTCCCCTGGCCGGCCCCACCCCCGATCACCCCCAACCCTGATTGGGGGCGAGGCCAGCTGGCCAACCTCCCGTGTCCCCTCCCCGCCGCTGGCCCAGCCCAATTGGCTCCGATTGGGGTGGGCTGGCCGGACCTCACCTGTACACAAATTAGTGCACCAGGCCTCTAGTATTGTACAGTGTAATTACCATTATTCTCCATGATAGGAAAGTATTCCTGTGTATTTTTGAATTTAGCACTTTTTGTCATTCATTTATGTGTATAGATATTTTATATGTATTTTATAGTTTGCCACAAATTACTGGTATTTCCTCTTTTTCTCTGACTCTTAGGTTTTGAGGGTCCCAGAGCTCACTCAGTCCCAGGACTTCGGTTTTTCATTAAATGTGCTCACTCCCTTGGCAATCTCATACAGTTTCATGACTTTAAATAAAGACCCCAATTTATCGCCATCTCAGAACTTTCTCCTTAACTCCACAGTTGTATATCTAACTGCATACTCAACATGTCACTTGAACACCAATTGTCATCTCAAACTTAACTTGAACCAAACCAAGCTCCTGATCCTCCTCATTTTAGTTAACATCAACTCACTCTGTTTTCCCAGTAAAAAATCTTAACTATTCCTTCAAAATACTATACATACAGAATCTGATCACATTTTACCACCTCCATGGCCACCACCACCTTGGTCAAGCTCACACCCTCCTCATCATGATCATTGAGAAATAACTTCTAAAGGGTCTCTCTTCCACCCTTGCCTGTCTGCAGTGTATTTTGACATCAGCAGTAGATTACTCACCATTAAAATTTAAGTGATATCATCTTACTTCTGTGCTCAAA